GCGGATTGCCTGATGCGCATTGCCCGTTCAAAGACAGTGACATCTGTCTGAACTGATCCCTCGTAGCTCATGATGCCCTCAGACTCGATCTCGTAGAAGCCTCGGGGTAGTACTCCGAAAACTGCCATTGCAGGAGTCACTCCCTTGTAGCTCAAAGTGAGGTTCTGAGCCATAGCGCTCTCTCGGCCGATCTCCTCTGGTTGTGGATTGAGACCTTGACGTTGGAGTTCAGCACGAAGTTTGTACATCGTCAGCTTCATAAGTTGAACGTGTCGTTCCACGATGCCGGTGCCAGTATGCTGTTCAGCTCCATGGCCTGCAGTGGTGCCACGAGGCTGTCGCTCCACATTGAGCCTCTCAAACTCGCCTCCAACTTCATGGCTCATGAGAGTTGCCTGCTGATCCATCACCAGCTTCTCAGGCGGACCAAAGGTGTAGACCCACAGATGTAGTAGAGCTTGAAGCAGATCATCAGCAGCTTGTCCTTGGATGGTTCCACAAGCTTTGAATCGAGTGGCCTCGTCCACCAGGAGCATGAACCAATTGCCTTCCCAGTTGAGCAGGTCAAGTTGAACTGCTTGGCCAAAGACGTTGGCTCCTCTGGCACGCATCTGTGGCCGGTTTGGCAATCGGACAAACTTGCGGCACACTGCACATTGTTTGATGGCCTCGTCGGCAAGCTTCACAAGCTCGGGTTCCATGCCAGCTCGCCGTAGGAGGTTGCAGAAATCTCCGGAAGGAGAGTGCCACATGCGCTCATGCAAGCCCAACAGCAACTGCTTGCACTTGGTATAGTTCTCCTCGGCGTAGAGCTTGGGAAGTCTCCTGAGAACCAACTTGAGGTTGTAGTTTGGCCGAATTGGCCTGATCTCATCTCTGGGTGCCACCTCGAACTCCTCTGCAGCCTCATAGGGTGTGTCCACCATGGGTGACTCACCTTCTGCAGTAGGTCGCTCCAGAACTTGCGCTTCACCAAGACTGTCATCTTGCCGTGGAGGTAGTCCAGGTTGTGGTGGAATCTTCCGTGGTCGTGAAGATGGTGTCGATGGTGAAGGCACCAGCTCTGGCTCGATGCCATACAGAGTGACCATCCAGTTCTCCTCATCGATTGCCTCATGGATCTGATGGTGACTCATCTCTCGTAGATCTTGTAGAGGTCCAATGGTCCAGTCCTTGACAGATCCTTGTATGGGCAACCTCAGATAGGATGACTGAAAGGTCAGTTGAGGTTCAGCGTTGTCTCTGCAGAATGGCCTCAACTCCAGAAGAACGCCCTTGACCACGAAGTGCTCCTTGAAGATGTGCTTGAAGAGCACCATGCGCACTGCGTCTTCCAACCAGTGCTTGTAGTCCAGCATGCCAGTAGCTTCATTGAAAATGCCCAGAGTGGCATTCACAGTCTCCAGGAGCAGCTTCTTCAGGTAGTGCCTCTGATGTGTGGTCAATGGCGGATTCATCCGATCTTCCAGCTGTATGGCCGGCAGCACATCCTCATCAGCTCGTTTCGTCCAGTCTTTGACAGGGTCGACTGGTGCTGCCTTCGACTTCGGATCACTGGTGCCAGGTGCCCACTTCCCGTGCCTGCATTGTTTCGGTATCATCGTGTGTGGAATGTCTTTGGGACAGGCTCTTCCAAGTTGGCACCTGACGCATTCATAGTGATGTGAGATGTTGTGGTAGATCAGGTCCTTGGGCCATTTGGGCAACTTGATCAAGTTGCGCTGATTCAGGAAGGCCACAATGTCTTGTTTCATCCTCTGGCACATTGTCTTGGGGTACACAGCAGCTGCAGCAGTGCGACTGAAGCCTCCAGGAGCTTGACCTTGTAGTTGAGCATGTTGGCGGCCTCCATGTCCACTGCATCTCAAGCAGGTGCGTGTCCACTTGACATTGCCACCAAGACCAGTTGCCTTCTGAACAGGTTGGCCATTCTCATCCACAGCGCCATGCATGCATTGATCAACTCGTTGTTTCTTCCGGTTGTCAGGTATTGCATCCAAGTCCAAAGGGTTGAGATGACTTGGATACCACATGGCACTTCCCCAGGGTTGTTCGAGACCATAACCTCGATGATGTCGATGTTGTTCCCAGCAGGTTTCCATTGTGAAGTCGAGAGAAGGTCTTGCCTGCATCCGCTCTTGTAGTCGTTCTTGAGGATCCTTGGTATTGCCAGCCTGTGACCATGGAGCACAATCCAGGCTATGGTGAATGTAGCCTGGTTGGAACTCCTTCTGAGTGGCTCTGAGCATCTTCTGATGCAATGGGTTGTTCAGGTCCCAGCCGTACCGGTAATCCACGGGAAAGCCCACGATCAGACCTGCCATCAGACAGATCAGGCTGAGTCGACCTGAACCACTTGCAAGCTCCCACATGTGCCACTTCAGCTTGCGGCCCTTGGCCTTGGCAAACCAAGATCCAAAGTTTTGTGGTGTGACCGGATGCAAACCTGTCTTTGAGTAGAACTCTTCAGGAACGGCCTTGTAGCGCCTGTTGAGCTTGGCCAAGTCTGCATCCTCAGGGAACTTGTCCTCCACGTAGGGCTCGGAGCTCCATGTTGCCAAAATGGCATCTGACGTTGGTGAAACTTCATCATCCGCAGGGGTCTTGTCCAAGACGTCGACCTTGTCGTAGTAAATGATGTCGTGAGAAGAGACCCTTGCCTCTTCTGGGGCCAAAATGGCCGGTTGTGAAACTTTTCCACCTCCGGTGTTCTTGGGCTCGATGTCCACGACCTGTTTGGTCACTGCATCTTCTGTCGGTGGCTGATCGTTGAAGCGAACCTTCTTGTTCGATTCACTGCATGTAGGCGGCGGCTCCACAGGTTGATGTCCTGAAGAAAGTTGTGAGCCATCGCCACCAATCTTGCCGTTTCCGTCGGGGTTGTTGCCAGAATCTTCAACTGATTCTTCACTGGCTTCACCGGGAATTCCAACTTCATCATTTTCACCCCGGTCAACTCCTGCCTGCATGCCCACATTGGACACGAAGCAGTGCTGAACTCTGGGATGAACATCGGTCCACAGTTCAGTGGATCTTGCAGCAGCCTTGGCACAGAAAAGGACTGCTTCTCGTTTGGCTTGACCTGGAACTTTCTCAGAGTTGCCCTGGTCGGTCGGCAGCATGTAGTGCCCACTGTCAGTGAGGAGCAGCCTGAACATGCGGTGGTGCATGATGTCATCCTGCGGCGCTCCAACCATGATCAAGCCATCACCTCCTTGAAACCAGTTGCTGAAGATGACTGCATTCATGTCTCTCAGCGCTGGGTTTCCAACCAAAGCGGGACAGTAGGATCCTTCGCCACCAAGCACGTCAGCGGTGTAGGTCAGAGCATGACCTCCACTAACCAATGGTACTGTCACCTGACCCAAAGTGCTTTCAGTGGTTCCATTAATGCCACTGACTGGGACAACCTTGCCGTGGTCGATCACCATCTCTCCTTGGCGTCCTGCAGGCTTCACACATTGATCAACCAACTCTCGCAAGGTGTCGGATCCCACAAGTCCTGAAGCAGCTCCGGGGTCTATCAATAGACCATACCTTTTCTCACCCTTCACAGAGAAGTATTGACCATCCGTGTAGGTGTTGTGGAAGGTCGGAAAGTTGAAGGAGTGCTGCTTCTCTGGCTTGATCACATCTTCCATGGCATTCCCATCCGTAGAGCTCGTCGTAGATGTAGAGAAGACCTTGTTGGGATTCCTCCTGGACATGAAGTCTTCTTCCTCGGATGAGGTGTGGATCACATGCTTCTCTGGTATCGTCTTGCCGGCAGCATTCGACTGGATCTTGTCCTTGACGAAGAGGGTGCTGTGCGAAGACGATGAAGTCGAAGTAGTGTGATCCGGAATGCCTTCTCGAAGGTCCAGGGCTTTCGTTCCAGTGTACCAGTGGTTCTTGCCTCTGCCCTTCTTGCCATAGCTCTTGCCGAAGCCCTTGTTGCGGAACTTTCCCTTGCCTTTTCCTTTGTAGGAAGGCCTCCATCTCCAAATTCCGCGGCCTTTTCCTTTTCCTCCTTTCTTGCCAGCTCCTTTTGCCATTGGGCAGTCTCGGGCAAGATGCCACTTGCTTCCACAGTTGAAGCATCCATCGTTTCCTCCTTTGCCTTTGCTCTTGCCTTTGTAGTACTCCTCGTACTTTGCCTCGGTGTTGGAAGCCTCGGTGTTCTCAGGCTCCACATTGGCTGATGTTGTGGTGTTGGGTCCATCGGACTCCCATGTAGCATCATCCTCATGCCACTCATAGCCATCGGCGTCCTCGTAGACCCACTCACCTGGTCCATCTCCATCAGCTTCATAGCCATACCACCAGTCGTACTCGTCGGCGTAGTAGTCGTCATAGTCAGCAGCCGTCTCATAGTACTGGTTGTACTCCTCCGCATCATACCACCATTCATCTTCATCATGGCCGTAGAAGATCTCGTTCTCCTTGGTCTCCTTGTTGGGGGTGATGCGAAGGGCTAGAGCTCTGGCATCTTCGAACCTCCGGAAATCTCCGTTCACCTGGAGCTTGATGTCGTCGATGGTGCGAGGCGGCAATCCAGATCCCTTGAACCACAGGTAGTACTTGGCCACGTCGTTCAGCTGTAGTCCTGCACGTTCATGAGCTTCTTCATAGCGGCTGTTGGGGTCTCGCACCTCGTCCACCGGAAGCCTCACCAGCGCGGCATCTCCTTGGTCCACGTTGCCGTCAGGTCGAGGGACCCTCAGCTGCATGGCAATGCGGTGAGCTCTGCCATACAACCTTCCAGCGATCACAGGGCCCACATGTTCGTCCTCCAACGAACATATGCGGTACCACAACCGCAGCTTCTCCAGGTAACTCCTCAGCGTGTACCCTGGGTCGCCTGGAGACCATCCTGGCGGCACGTCACGACGGTATTCCGTCAGCGGAATTGTCCCGCCTGTCGGTGCGGGTGGTGCAGCCATTGTTGTAGGTCTCCTCCAGGAGTGATGCCGTCCAGCTCGTTCAGGTGGTTCTTGTCCAGGTAGTTCAGGAGGTAGAGGCTAGGCCACCAGCAGCAGCGAGAGCACCACGTAGAGGACCTCGTAGAAGAGGACGAAGTCCAGGATGTAGTGCACCAGCAGCCGCAGTGCCAAGCCCGATGCCGTAGAGCAGCTTCTTGACGCTCCAGCAGCAGCGCCCAGCAGCCACAAGCAGTGATTGCGGCCCCGGAACACTCCAAGCGCCAGCCACGCAGCAGCGCAGCCGCCCAACCTAATGGGCAGTAGCCGAACCAGCAGCAACGCCTATGGCGCGGCCCGTGGCAGCGAGCTCGGAGCAGAGCTCCGCTACCAAACTTGGTTTTCGAGCACTCAAGGGGCCCCTGCGGTCAGCGGAGTCTCACGCATATGTCCCTGCATGGCCATGTGTGGGGTCTGACCTGAGATTGGAATGTTCACTACCTGCTACATCATGCTACCTGCTCAGCTGCTCTCATCATTAAAAAATCACCCCAACACTCCATAACACTCATAACACTCCATAACACATCCCCAACTGCTGGTGTTTTTGGCGCACTCTTTGGCCACCAGCTCCAATCTGCAGTGCATCTTTTTGTATTCTGCCAGTGCCTCAACACGATGGTCGTACATCCGCAAATGCGAAACGAGAGTTCCTTTTAAACATGTTAAACATTCAAAAAGCGATTTTAAGATATGTCCCCCTGTCAAAAATGTCAAAACAATTGGCTATTCAGAATGTTGAAGATGTCAAATATATGTGTGTTAAATTGATGTTAAACAAAGGGTGCTTCACCGAAAATGTGGAGCGCCCCAATCAAAGCTGCCATGGCACAGCTCCATGTTGCTCCATCTGCGGAGGCTGATTCCACAATCCAGGATTCCAAGATGGAAAAGCTGGAAAGTAGAACCATCTATGAACATGAAAATCTATGAACATCTATGAAAATCTATGAAAATCTCCAACATGCCAATCATCCCCAAATCATATTATCGCTTCCCTATGGGTTCCGAAAATTCGCTGGTCCACCTGAAAGCTCCCCATGATGAGGCTTTCCAGCAGCACAGCGATATCCACCCGCAAATCTTCGCTTTCTGGCCTGCCGATTTCGGCCATGAAGTGCCATGATTTTTGCAATCCCCATATGGCATCATATGGCATCATATGGCATCATATGGCATCATATGGCATCATATGGCATCATATGGCATCATATGGCCATATGGCCCATAGTCGTGAAAAACACGTGTTTATCTCACAAAACTCTTCGAACAGTGACTGTAGTGATTGCACCATCGTAAGATTACACTGAATTTTGCTGAATTAATCACTTCCTATCACTTCTTCACTTCATTCTTTCACATGACTATTTATTTATTAAACATGTGATTCACCTGAAATTTCGTAAATTTCACTATCCTTCGCAGCTGTGCTGGTGTTACCAAGGCCGGCCCAATGCCTCGACTCATCTGTTTCAGGCTCCAGTGCAATAGCCTCACGGATTAGTTGGTCCCATGCAATATTGGGGATAAATGGATATAAATATCCAATAAAGGATAGAATGGGGATATAATGAGAATATAATGGTGAAATGGATTGAAATGGGGATATGATTGGAACCGGCAAATTCACGGGAATATGGCCTAGGCATGCCTAGGCCATGGGCTTTTAGGGGGGGTATAATATGGGACGATCATGGCACCTTTTTCACCATGGCACGTTTTTCAGTTTTTTAAGTCAACCTGTCCCTACTTAAATCTAGCCTATTTTATTTGGTTTATCTTGTTCTAGAAACTGATGGTTTTCTTGCAACAAATGCCCAAATGCTATCTTTTGAGCTGCGAGTGAAGACATATCATATCATCGGCCGGGAATCAGGGCACAACTTTGGCCACTCATTCCACCTGTCCCCATAAACCATCGCTTGGCACGGCTGGGCAAATGATTTGAGGTGCGCATATTTTTCCAGAGAAACAGACTGAAACAGACTGCTCACCAGCAAAACCTCGTGATCTTCAGGTGAGTTGACCATGACCCAGAAAAACCTCTCATGTCTAATGGCTGTTTCATCAATTTTCATCAGGTTGATCCAAGATGATCCAAGATGATCCAAGTACCTTAGCGTCCGCGCTCGAAACTCATCAGCCACAGCTTCCAAGCGAGACAACTGGTCCTCTAAATGCGAAGGAACCGAGGCCTGGCAAGTGATTGCAGAAATATCATGGGAATTCATAGAACTAGATTAACTAGATCCTATAGATATATTTTTTTTTTGATATTCATATTATATGATATGCTGATATATGCTGATATGCTATTTATATGATATTTATCATGATATCATAATAAGAATTGTGAAGGTGTAGTATTTTTGGTGTAAATGGATTCAAAGATGCTCTGAGAGAAATTGGGACGCTTCTGAAATCGCTAGGATTCACGCTCATCACTACAGCAAATGGGTGACTGCCTCGCTCTGGTAGTAGAGGGCTGCATCACAGAGAAATGCTGGAAGTCTGGAAGCCTAAGAAGGCTTCTCAGAGAGCGAAACTCAGGACCCACAGATTAGGGGATTTAAACCACCTTTTTTCGACCTAAAATTGTTGATTTAAACCTCAAAATACTAATCGTTGGTCTTGGGATCATTCCATTCCAGGTGGTTTTTGGGTATCCCCACATCCCTCGCCGCCTCGCCTCCCGCAGCACGTCAGAGCCATGACTCTGGCAGAAGCGCCGCATCGAAGTTTCGGCTTGTTTCAGGCCAGAGACCACCTGCATCAACTGGAAAAATGGGGAAGTCTTCGGGAAAATTAAGAAAAATCTGTATCTAAACTATAGTTTGGTGCCATTTCTTCAACATCTTTAGGAGAATATGTCTCAACATGTTTGGTATATGTTTGGTGTATTTATGGGGATATAATGAGGATCAATTGGGTTGTAAAGGAGATATAATCAACAAGATGCTGTGTCATATGGGTTGTCCAGCTTAGGAAATCCTAATTTTTGAATTTAATGGGAATCCCCATTCTCGATGGGACAATGAATGGAACATATGGGAAAATATGGGAAAATCATCTATAGAAATTAAAGATGTCTTGATATTTCGTGTGTCTTAAAAATGGAGCATACCCCCTTTTAGGGGGATCGGAAATTCAGAACACGATCCTTAAACAGTGGATTTGGGGTATACTCCACGATCGGCGATCAAAAGGAAGCCATACCATGGCCTTTTCGGAAGCCCATATGGAGCCAAATTCTGAAGAATTCTGCAGCTCTTGGAAGAAACATATGGATCCCCTGTCAACGGTGAAAACCAAGCCACCGGGTAAGTTGAACAGAGCTGTGGAGTCGAATATCTAACTCCCATCATGCCTATAGAGGCTATGGATGAATATAAATCAACATCAATCAACAGAAGTTCCAGATAGTTTACTTATGTTTACTTCATTGAAATTGAAATGATGCTTAGTTGGCTTAGTTGTTTGAGCCCTTCATCATGCATCCATCTGCATCACTGAATGAAACCATGGTGAAACGATCCCGTCTCGACGTCTTTTTAATCTCAACGATCCCGTTCAAGCAACGCTTCCCTGGCGCGGAGTCTGGGATAAAAGTGGCAGCAGGGAGGCATTCTACATCACATTTAGATTCGTTTAATTGGGCCTCAATGGAAATTCTGATGCACTCTAGTCATTCTCCTAAGTTCTCATATGTTCTCAATAGTTTGTTTGGTGACGGCCAAACCACCTGGTGATTGATGATGAGCAACGCCGGGTCCGAACGATTCCAAACGCATAATGCTGCCATCAGCTTTAAGTGCCAAGCCCATACCCCATACCGATCATACTCCGCTGCAGCGTGGCACCTCTCTCCGGGCGTTAGAGTTGAATGTTCTTGGAGAAAATCAGCAAGGTCTTCTCTGCTTTCAATGACCTGCACCGCAGAAAACCATTGGGCCATTGGGCCATGATTCATGATGATACCAATTGGCATCACTATCATCGGGGGATTATGAACATTGATGTCACTGATAAAGGAGTACCATCTATCAAATCTATTACCTATACTTGGGCTATAATTATATCATATTATATCTATAATGATGGTAAATGATAATAGATATCTAGTACCATCTATCATTATACTTGGATATCAATAATATTATAATATATGTATAATGATCTCAAATCGCGCCACCGGACCTCCTCCAAAGTCGCAGCACCCATCTCGTGGCACCACTCGTTGGCCGCTTCAATTCGATCCTGTCACCGGGCACCGGATTCAGGGGGTGGTTCAGCCAACGACCTGAAACACAGTGCGAATTCTCAAGGTGAAAACTCAGTGCGAAAAGTGATGGGGTTATTGGGCTACTATTGGGTGATTGGTTCTATCTGTTTCTGCAAAGCATGGAGATCAAGGAGTCCTCCAAACAGAGCAGCAGTAGCCAAGTCTGAAGTCCTGCAAGGACCATTCCATGACTGGCAGAGAAACTGCTTGTTTAAGCACACCATTCCCAGCTGGATGATTATAATCCCGTTTGCAAAGGCTAGTGTAACCCCTGAGGATATAATCATCAGCCGAGGTTTAAGACAATGCGAAAAGTGTTCCTCCCAATAGCTCCCAATATGACATCTGCTGTGTGCATCCTATGACATCTGCTGTGCTCGTGCATCCCACCTGGAACTGCTTCAGGTATATGCTTGTAGTCCCTCAATGCGGAATGCGGATGCATTGAAAATTCCTGAAAATGATCCCTAGATGTCCCGAAAAAAAGACGTCTATGGCGAAAGCCATGCGAACCCTTGCTATGCCAACTATGCCAACTATGCGCCAAAATAAAGGTCCAAGAAATGAATTGATCAACCTCAGATCAGCTTGGGTGAAAAACCTGCTGAAAAATGTGGCCCTTTTTTTTGTTTTTATCTCCTGCTTCCTCAAGGGACACAGTTTGGAAAAGGTCTTCGCAAACATCTTTATCATCTTTGCAGCCAAACATTAATCCGTGAGATCAAAAAACAATATGTTTATTTCAAAAACAAGGGAATAATAATCATAATAGTCATCACATGTCATCACCATCACCATCATTCAAATGACATATATACTGTACATACTTCCAAAACCCTGCCTTTCATCGTTGTCTGTTGGAAGAATCCAAGCGCCAAGGTGCTTAACTTTGCTGAAGTCAGCCTCACTCACGGCATCCGACATGTCCTCCGTAAACTGCGACTCCCCAGCAGCCTGGAAACTGCCAGAGATCCAATGATCCTGGAGGGTTTTCCGTTGATGCCATGTGGCTTTGTCTGACAGGGTAAGGCATACCATGGTATATACGGTATATACCAGTATATACCGGTATACCCCATCATGGCCACTTTATGCCAGTTTATGGGAGAATGGTGATTTTTTATTGTGATGAATCAGATTTTGGGGCCACTTTATAGCCTCATTTTCAGACAAAGCCATGTCAAACTGAGGCGGAAACCAAAGTGAAACCCAAGGATTTGCAGGGGACCAGCAACTTTCCTTTCTCCTCGGCCAAGCCGTAGCACCGTAGCACGCGGCGATTTTGTTGGTCCCGTCTTGAAAAAAAAAGTGTTTTTCATAAGGGATCCAAAGAAATCCAAAGAAATCCAATGGTTGATCATCATTTCACCCATCAAAATGCAATTTCTGGACACAAAAAAATGCGTATTCACAAAGCTATTCCTTCTCTATCAGGAGCAGAAAACTCTCGCTGATGCACCTACCAGCCCCTCTCTTGTTTGAGAGTGCCTTCCCTTTCTGATGTTCAAGATGTTCCAATCATGAGCATTCCGGGTGCCGTGGCAGCCCCCACCCAAGATACCCAAGCTTCAAAAGTCCAACAAAACCCATTGAAATAGGTCAACCTGCCAACAAGTCAAACGAAAATCAGCTTCCATAAGCTCCACTGAACCCAGCCAGTCATGAAGGGGAAAGATGGGTTTGTCTATGGGCACGGGTTTAAGTGGCATGGAGGGGGGCCAGAGCCAATTTCAATTATGGACGGGGGGGGTCCTTGATTTCATTTACAATTTCACTTTCATCCCGGCCCTTGCACACCGACATGCAACCGGTTCAAGCGGCGACCTTTTTTTTAAATCAGCCAGGCAGTTGCTTGGTCGAAAAAGTCGCCCAGACCTGAGCCCATTTCGTCCTCACGTCGCGTCACCTGGCAGCTGGGGGGTTGGCGGTGATTTATGGTTAATGGCTGAAAGTAATTTTAATGAAGATATAACCAACATTAACCAACAATAATAAGAATATGTTCACTATGAACGTATATAGATTTAGATTTATAAATATTATATATTTATATTTTCTATTCATGCTTTTTATGAATGAATATTTTCATTCTTACTGGTAAATAGCGGCACCATCAAACCAATGGTTGATGATGGTTAACAACAAATAATAAGGTGATATAACCACTAATAACCACTAATAATAAGGATATCATGGATGATACATAGAGGCCCCCCCAAACCAATGGTTTATGATAGTTAATAACCAACAATAATGGGATATCACCGCTAATAATAGGGATATCATGGATGATAAATAGGGGCGCCCCCAAACCAATGGTTTATGACAGGTAATAACCGGGCGAACTGTCGGTTGTACACTTGAGTTCTGTGTCGGTTGATGTCGGTTGTACACTTGAGTTTTGTGCCGGTTGTACACTTGAGTTTTGTGTCTCTTGTGCACTTAAGTTTCGGGTCACTTGTACACTGTTGTTTTCTGGGTTGCTTTGCAGACCGCAGTGCAGGCCACGTGCAGTATGAGGTGGGGTGGGGTGTGATGTTAATGCCAGCGGGGCAGAAAACGTACGTGTAGTCGTGCGCATTTTCAGCAAGAGTATTTGTTCATGACGTGGATGGTGTTTGCTTTGAGCATCATTCTTGTGCTACTTACTATGTTGTTCCATCATACCTACCCCACCCCACCCCACCTCACCCCACCCCACCGCACCCCACCCCACCCAGACCCTAAAGTGTCAATGATGTTTGATCGTGAACATCACTCTTGTATTGCTTACCATGTTGTTCCATCATACCCACCCCACCCCACCCCACCCAGACCCTAAAGTGTCAATGATGTTCGATCGTGAACATCACTCTTGTATTGCCTACCATGTTGTGCCATCATACCCACCCCAACCAGACCCTAGAGGGTCAATGATGTTTGCCCGTGAACATCATTCTTGTATTGCTTACCATGTTGTGCCATCATACCCACCCCAACCCCACCCCACCCCACCCAGACCCTAAAGGGTCAATGATGTTTGCTCGTGAACGTCATTCTTGTATTGCTTACCATGTTGTTCCATCATACCAACCCCACCCAGACCCTAAGTGTTAATGATGTTTGATCGTGAACATCACTCTTGTATTGCTTACCATGTTGTGCCATCATACCCACCCCAACCCCACCCCACCCCACCCAGACCCTAAAGGGTCAATGATGTTTGCTTTTGAGCATCATTCTTGTGCTACTTACTATGTTGTTCCATCATACCCACCCTACCCCACCCCACCCAGACCCTAAAGTGTCAATGATGTTTGCTCGTGAACATCTTTCTATGTTGTTGATGACCCCCTTCCCTCATGTATTGTGTCCAAGTGCGCAAGTGACGGCTAATTTGGCTTTAAGTGCGCAACTGACGTCGAGTGCGCAACTGACGTCAAAGTCCCTGCGAAAGTGACAGCAACGCCTAATAACCAACAATAATGGGATATAACCATTAATAATAGGGATATCATGGATGATAAATAGGGGCACCCCCAAACCAATGGTTTATGATAGTGAATTACCAACAATAATGGGATATAACCGCTAATAATAGGGGTATCATGGATGATAAATAGGGGCACCCGCAACCATAGTGGTTGATATAACCAACAATAATGGTTTCTACAACCAGTAATAGGGATATAATATAATAGTATGATGGGTCCATGCCGGGCCTCTCAGCGAGCAGTGCAGCAGGCAAAAACCGTTCCTCTCGTCCGGCTGTGGGGTTGCCACTTGAACACTGCGGTTGCAGATCGCATTGGAATGGCTGCATGAATGTTGCATGGGCTATGTTTTGGGGAGGAAGCCGGAGCACGAAACCTTGTGTTTTTCATGTAAAGTGGCTGCAGGCGACGATGAAAGGTACCTCGTGTGTGCGACGGGTGCGGCTGGGGTCGTTTCATGCGCGAATTGTTCCTCCTATGTGTTTTGCAACGAGTGGTTGTTCCTGTGTGCGTAGTTCGATGCGTTTCTTGCAGCTGTGGTTGCAGATCGCATTGTAATGGCTGCATGAATGTTGCATGGCTTATGTTTTGGGGAGGAAGCCGGAGCACTACTACTACTACTACTACTACGACGACTACTACTACTACTACTACTAGTACTACTACTACTACTACTACAACTACTACTACTACTACTTCTTCTCTTTTTTGTTGCTATTCATTTAAAAATATTCACGGGCATACGTATACGCAGGCACGCGTATGCAAAGGCATACGTATTCACAGGCATCCATATACGGATGCATACGTATACACAGGCATACGCATACACAACCATATAAATTTTATGATTACTATTACTGCTACTACTATTACTGCAAGAAATAGTAGTAAATATTTTTTATTTTGCTGCTATTCATTTAGAAATATACAGGATCATACGTATAAACAAGCATACGTATACACAGGCATACGTATACACAGGCATACGCATACACAGCGATACAAATTTTACTACTAATAATAATAATAACTATTAACAAAACTACTACTACTACTACTACTACGACTACTAGTACTACTACTACTACTACTACTACTACTTACTACTACTACTACTACTACTACTACTACTACTACTACTACTACTACTACTACTACTACTACTACTACTCTTTTTTGGTGCTATTCATTTAAACGTATTCACGGGCATACGTATACACAGGCATACGTATACACAGGCATACGTATACACAGGCATACGCATACACAGGGATACGTATACACAGGCATACGTATACACAGTCATACGCATACACAGGCATACGCATACACAGGCATACGTATACACAGGCATACGTATACACAGGCATACGCATACACAGCGATACAAATTTTACTACTACTACTATTACTACTACTGCTACTACTACTATGCTACTACTTGTTTTGCGGCTATTCATTTAAAAAATGTGACGGGCTATACGGTATACAAGGGAATACGTATACCAGCAGAAGCCTACACAGGAATATGCGTATACAACGTCAAATCCAAGCAGGGATACGCATACACAGGCATACGCATACACAGGCATACGTATACACAGGCATACGTATACACAGGCATACGCATACACAGCGATACAAATTTTACTACTACTACTATTACTACTACTGCTACTACTTTTTTTTTGCTGCTATTCATTTAAAAATATGCACGGGCATACGTATACACAGGCATACGTATACACAGGCAGACGCATACACAGGCATGCGTATACACAGTCAATCACAAGCAGGCATACGTATAGACTGGCATACGCATACACAGGCATACGTATAGACAGGCATACGCATACACAGCGATACAAATTTTTCTACTACTACACTACTAATACTAAGAAGACTAATATTAACTCCCTCTGCTACTACTTTTTTTGCTGCTATTCATTAAAAAAGTATCCGGGCATACGTATACACAGGCATACGTATTTTACACAGGCATACGTATACACAGGCATACGTATACACATGCATACGTCTAAACAGGCATACGGTAGACCAGGCATACGTATACACAGGCCTCGCATACACAGGCATACGCATACACAGGCATACGCATACACAGGCATACGTATACACAGGCATACGTATACACAGGCATACGTATACACAGGCATACGTATACACAGTCATACGCATACACAGGCATACGTATACACAGGCATACGTATACACAGGCATACGCATACACAGCGATACAAATTTTACTACTACTACTATTACTACTACTGCTACTCCTTTTTTTTGCTGCTATTCATTTAAAAATATGCACGGGCATACGTATACACAGGCATACGTATAGACAGGCATACGCATACACAGCGATACAACTTTTACTACTACTACTACTATGACTACTACTGCTACTACTTTTTTTTGCTGCTATTCATTTAAAAGTATTCACGGGCATACGTATACACAGGCATACGTATACCCAGGCATACGTATACACAGGCATACGCATACACAGGCATACGTATAGACAGGCATACGCATACACAGGCAACGGATACACAGGCATTACGTTACCAGCATAGTTATACACAAGGCATACGTATACAACAGGCGATACGTATCACCAGGCATACGCCACCAATACACAGCATTAAGCCAACACAGGCATACGCATACACAGGCATACGTATACACAGGCATACGTATACACAGGCATACGCATACACAGGCATACGTATACACAGTCATACGCATA